GAACCAAAATGTAATTATATGTATATATTTTTAAATAAATATACAGATACAAATATTACTGCTATATAAAGAATATTGTTATTGTTGTTGTTGTAAATAAATAAATTCAGTCTTAAAATAATTCAATTTCAGTCTTTTCCTAACACAAAATGACTTGGAATAAAATGCACATGGGCTACTTTGAACATCATGTTTTTAAGTGTCCATAAATATCTTAGGTTAGAATTAGACAGAGGTCTCACTCACTTGACTTGGTCTAAAGTTTCCTAAATTAGATCGAGTGAGGAATAGAAAAAGGCTGAGAGAAAGAGCGAGATGAGACTCTCTCCTTCGTTAGCAGTTCCACACCAGCTGGGCACCACACAGGGCACTTTACTGGGACAGATGGCAGTGTCACCCACACTGCTGCCTCACTCCAACCTGTGCTGGCAGAAACGCTGCCAGCCAACCGGGCGGAAATCATTAACACTGGAGGGAGACTGTCCTACTAGGCACTCAGTGCAGGGCTGGGCAGAGAAAGGAGAGAGGGAGAGCGGTGCCCCTTAAAGTGACCTACGCTGAGACAATCTGTCATGACTTAAGTAATTATCCAGATTTTTATATATGCATGTAAGGAAAGAGAGAATGAATACAAATAGAGCTGTCATTATTCAAGAGAACAGTATCACTATGAGCCAAAGCTGAAACGGCCCTACACATCTTTGGTTTTCTGGATTTGGAGAGTAAAAGAGCAGCTCTTTCCTCTAACATTTGCACTTTTGCTTTATTTCTCTGCTTCATTTCATAACTCTCTCATTCAGTATTAAATGTATGACTTTCTTGGACAGTGGACTCTATCTATTTGTTATTGTTTCATTGGCTTTTTTTTAGGTGACCCATGCCAGTTGGGTGAGAAAACAAAACTCTGGTTATCTGTTTGCATCACAGAGGTGTTGCCATTGGCCAAATATTTGCTAAAACAACAGCTAACACAGGCCTCCTTAATTAAGCTTCATTACACCGCCTTCCAACAGTTAATCTGATTCTGAGTGTGTGTGTGTGTGTGTGTGTGTGTATGTATGTATGTGTCTATTTACATAGTGTATTTACAAAAGTGCGTTAAATCAGAAAAAGTTTGTCTAAGTGACATCTGGAGAAGGCCTCAGTTGAAATGTTGTTGTTCCACCCCCCCAGAACTATTAATTTAACAATATAAAATACATTAAAATGCAATTCATATGACCTGAATGACAGTTCATATGACATATGGCTTGTTCATGACATATGACAGTTCACATGGCTTTCCCAGCTAACAAAAAGGTGTTCTAAAAAATTTTAATGTTAGCGTTTCAAATAAGTTCAAAAAAATATTATTTCTGAATGTTCTCTGAACTTTCAAAACATCAATTTCTTTAAAATATGATTTGCAATTTTTTTTTTTTCTTGATTATGCAAAATGTTAAGGTAACATTCCATAGTATTATTGTGCAAACACCTTGGGAATGTTAGTTTTAAATGTTCTCTGAACATTATGAAACAAGTAATAATATATATTTTTTAAATTGTTAGATGAACATCCAAACTAAAACGCTTCAGGAAAAGAAGTTTTATGAATGATGTATAAATAAAGTTTTTGAGCTAACATTTTGAAAGCATTATGAAAATCCAGAGAACTTTGAATGGAAATTCTATTAATGTTACTAGAAGAACATTCATAACTTTTGGAGAACCTTGCCAGAATGTTAGCCAATATTCTGAGAATGTTCTCTATTTTCTAGGATGAAACCTGCTTTTAATATCTGAATTACAATTCTAAATTAACATTTTGATCTTTTCTAGGGAATAAAGTCAAAAATGTCTTGGTGATAGTGTTCTGATATCATAATGAAGAAAAAACTCAACATTTTTGAATGTCATCTATAATGCAACTTCCCAAAAAGGTATTTATGAATTTCATTATATTTGTAAATAATAAAAATAATAATTAATTAATAATAAAAATAAATATTATAATAAATAAATAATATTTTACATAATATATGATAAAAATAAATATATACATAAATAAATCATTATTAAATAAAAATTTAATTAATTAAGGATTAAGTTAGATTTGTAAAAAATATTTTTCTTGTTCTTTATCACTTATTTGTCATTGACTATAAGTCTGTGGTATGTCCTGGTTTAGATAGCAAGAGCAAGGTAAATGTGTGTATGTGTGAGGAACGAAAGTTCCCATCTCAGTCTAGCACTGCTGTGTTGTGTGTTTACTGACACTGGTCTGTCCGTGATTAGCTAAGAGCCACATGGCACAGAAAACAGCCCTGCAAACACCCGGCAACTTACACCAGACTGAGAAAAGAGGACTAGAGTAGCAACTGGGACTATTTAGGGTAGTGAGTGATAAAGCAAACAACAAGAGGACTATCAAAAGTAAATAGCATCATTAACTAGGAAAAGAAATCACAGACTTGCTAATTGGTTTCTGTATTTGTGGTTCACGAGAGAGTTGCATTCCCTGCTAGAATTTAATGAGGAGAGAAGGGGGTTTTGGTGCATAAAATGTTAAATCTAAAATATGCTTTATCTCTTTTATCTAATCTGACCAACTGGCTTTTTTAATATTTCTTCAGCAGATTATATTGAATGATACTATATACTCAGTTGGATTCTGTTTAAACATAAATAATTGATACCCTATGATTAATATATGTAGTCATAGGACATGAGGTTGTCACTGTCTGAAATTAATGATATATTCTCTTTTAACTTAAGCCACGTTTAAATCTATAATTAGGCCACTGAGTACTTAATGACAGTCTGGCGTCTGCACCTTGATCATCGCCTCCCTTTGGAGGAGCCCGAGCCGCCCTTCTCTCGAACCCTCGCAAAATCTCATGACAACATTGTCTCTGTTCTGGCCGAATATACCGCGCGCACACACACACACACCCCGCATATTGTTCTTGTGATTACAAACCCTCTGTATGGGTGGGATACGGATTTTGACACCAGGGGTGAAATTTCCTCAGGTTGAGGCTGGAGATCATCTCAGGAAGTTTTGAATATTTTCAGACAGGAAGTAGAAACATATGGGCCACACTCCAGGTAATGCCGACATTCTTGAGAATATTATAGAGGCCTCCACTCGCACACACACACAAACCATGCCACGTTCCTTAGATGAAAAGACTAAAGCTCCTCCTAAAATACTCGATCTGCTCCTGCCTGACATATGCTTGTCTTTCTACCCGCGCCTCTAATTTGACACAGTCCTGGATGCTGTGTGTATCTTAGGGAAATCCTGGTATGCGGCATTGCATTAGGGGCCGGAGGAGCTCTCGTAACCTCACGGTGACTTTCAGAGTTCATCAGATGAGATGCCAGATGTAGGTGTCTGATATGTCCAATGCGATTACCTTGACTACCAACAAAAAGTTTCCCCGTATAGCCTGTTTAATGCTAAAAGCTGTATGGGCTTTTATAGGATTTAGCTTTTCTCTCCGTCCTATTGCTCCAGCAGTTTGCCGTCTTTAATCTAATAATACTCAAGGCTATGAGCTGTAAGGTAACTATGGAGATCACTTAAGCTTACCGTCTTTAAGCTTTCTCTTGCAGTTTGGGCAACTAATACCTGATTACATCCCGGTGCAGACAATAGGGTTGGTGGTGTCGATTGATGTAGCCTGTGCTCCGTGGGGGTGGGGGAGTGGATGAAGGCCTGCTCTGTAAAGGATACCCTCTTTATCCCACCCTATGAGGGGCGCTTAGTCCTGGGGGAGCCAGCCGGTCCCTGAGGTTCGGCAAACCAAAACACGCTCTCACACGGACCGGATTTTAGCAATGAATGTACCAGACTGTTTCTTTGGGTAGCTCCATGGTGAGTTGATCTGGCAGATGGCAAGAAAAATCACAGAATCAATAGAATTAATGCAGTTCATTGAGATAAACAGATGATTTTAGTTAGCATAAACTCACAAATCTGGGAGTACAAGTAATTAAAGGGAAAATCAATTCTGTCATCATTTACTCACCCTCTTGTCGTGAAATTTGGCTAATGTTCCAGCAAAGTTAAGAACAAATGTTCTTCCAGTAACATTGATAGAATGTTCATTCAAACTTCTCAAATCTTTAGCACAAAAACATTTTTTATACATCATTCATGGAACTTTTTTTCTGAAACATTTTAGATGGATGCTCATCTAGTTTTTTTTTTTTACGTCATAACGTACTAATTGTTTCAGAACGTTCAGAAAATACTCAAAAGTAATGTTCCCAAAATCATAAAATTGAATTTTCCCTTAATGTTTTCTGTAACATTTGCATAACCAAGAACTCTCTCTCTCTATAAGTGTTATCTGACATTATCAAGATGAATTTGTTCTTACACAGTTTAATTCTGAGTTTCTGTCATATTTTATTACCATTTTCTGAACTATAGCGAATAAACTGTGATAATGTGAAATGTTGAAGGTGTCTGAATAAATTTTTTAGTTTGACTGTATATATACTGTGCGTTTTGAATGTTCAGAAAAAAATTTTTTTTTCCATAACTTAATGAGAGCATTGACAAAACGTTCTTACAACATATTTTTTTTGCTGGAATTAAGGTGAATAAATGATGTAAATTTAAATAAATAAATAAATTTTATACAAATTTTATCTTTCAATAAAATAATAGATTTCCGGGTGAATTACCCCTTTAAATGTTCTAAAAATGACTTGCTTAAATTAAATAATGATATTTCCAAAACAATGAAATCACAGCAATCAGCTGCATTTCCATGCAGGGTTATCCCAGGCACGTCACTGAATGGACCAAATCAACAAGGCTCCACTTCAGGGTATCTTTTTCTAACCATCCCACCACCTAGCCAACAACCTCTCCTGCCCCCTCATCTATTGTGTTAACCCCCAGAACCCCCTCTGAGCATCAGTGACCACAACAAAGCATCGGGCAGAGCTTTAAACTTCGTAGATCAGCAACCTAGTGAGCCTGTAAGCAATGCTAATGGCTAATAGTGCATGCGAAGCATTAAACTGACTAGCACTGAAACAAAGTATACTCTCTCTCTCTCTCTCTCTCTCTCTCTCTCTCTCTATAAGAATGTTTGGTTCATTTTTATTCATTTATTTATATATGCATAAACTTTTGTTTGACCAAATCAAATTCACGTGGTGTAACCAACAAACACATATGGTGTGGCCAACATGAAAAACAAAACAAAACAATAAATAACCCCCTTTTTTTTCTTTGTGGATACTTGTCATTGACCTAGTTCACAACTGGTGGTCACAACCTTTAAAAAAAAATGGGTCGCAGGTCTGTTCTGAAAAGGTTGCGGTTGGAAGAAAAAAAATAAAGCTAAACGCAACTAATGCAAAACGTTAACCATGCATGTTCAGAAAACAAAATATACAGACTGTTTAAAAAGACATTAAAAATACCTTCTTTTTTTTTACATCAAAGGCTGTGCGTCCAATCGCACTCTCAAATTCAACGCAAATTCATCTGTCATTTGGTAACCAGGCTGGAACTAATGCAATATTTAGCACAGTGTTTCTTCCATGTGTTAAGCTGCTAAATGATTGAGTGTGTTTATGTAATTACAATGTTTTATTTTATTTTTTTATTTTGTTACTTTTGTGCCATAAACAATTTGGTACTGTGTTTGGGTTGCCACATGACGTCTAGTATAACATCTGGGTCCTAAAGCAAAATCAGCTGAGAATCACTTGTTTAAGCTAACAGCTCATTTACCTTAAACGTTGTGTCAATGAAACCATTCAAGTCCACAATCAGAGCACCACACTAAAAGGGTCATCAGTGTTAAAATCTCTCAATCTCTGGCCCTCACTCTGCTCCCCCCTTTCTTCACCTGTTTTTGTCCTGGGGGAATGAAGCTGTGATGGCATCAAACTACTGTTCATCAATGGATCCTACACTCATTACTACTGAGTCTTTGTCACTTACAAAAGCTCCGCTGCACAGTCATCTGGTCATCTCTTAATACACACTCCAGGGGTAATTGGCTCATTGCTGCAGGACAATGTGTGCAGGGCTATCAGGAAATCCTGAAAGGTTAAGACAGTTTGATATTGTACTGATTTCCAGGGGGCTTTATCTTATTTTTTAGTGGAGACTAATTAGCTTTATTTCTATGTTTTATAGACATTTGTTTCCTGTAAAGGTGAAGTTTCTACAGTGAAGTTTATAATACTACATTCATTTCTAACATCCAAAAACACTCAATCTTTTAAAATGGTTTTATTTAAATACCAAAAATGTTATTTAGCATCAGCTAACTGACTAAATACATTAATTTATACCAAATTAGTTAATGAGTTAAATCAGGTTAAAATTGCTCTTTAAGATGATAATCACGTTACCACATTTTACAGTGTATATATTCACTGGATTTGTGTGTGTGTGTGTGTGTGTGTGTGTGTGTGTTTTAACAATTCATGAGTTACTTTTCAGTTGACTTGCTATCGACTTCTATTGCCATGTTCTAATAGGGTGTTGACATTTTATGAATTATATAATTGGCTGGAATGGATTTTGCTACTGTATACATTTAAGTTGTAATTCAAAATGCCCGGTTTTGGTTTTTAAAAAAAATCTCCTATCAACACATGTTAGTGGATTTCCCTTCTTCACTACATAATCCTATCTACAAATCTACAGATTTTTTCTAAATTCGTTGCTTGAGCAAATTCGTCAAGCTGACATATATTAGTTTTAGTTACATTTAGTCTAGTTGTAAACCAGAGCAAGATTAAGATAAAGGTAAATAAATGACACTAAGACCACTAATTCCTGAGATCTGTGACAAATATTTGTCATTTCTGTGTGTGTGTGTGTGTGTGTGTGTGTGCGCCTGTGTGTGTGTCTCTGTGTGTGTCTGTGTCTGTGTTTGTGTGTGTGTGTGTGTGTGTGTAGAAAGACGACACATGGTCTGTGAGAGCAGGTCTGTTAGAGGACATCCGGGAGGAAAGGAAATGTTGGCACATGCTTCCTCCTGTACTGTCAACTAAAGGAGCCACACACACACACTCTTCATTCTTATGCCAAAGTCTGACACACACAATCACACAAATGGGGGTAATTAATCTCCTCTTCATTAGGATTACCTTTTTTCTTTCTTAAGGGATTCAAAGATGTCTGGATATAATGAACACAATGAAGTGCATTAACAATCCAAGGACAACAGATATGATGGCATTTGTTGTATATGCAATGAAAACAAATCCCTTGATCTATTGCAGTGAAATCCCTTGGAGTCAGATTCACAGCGCAGTGACACACAAACACTCACAACCTAAATGGCCATTAATGCATTCAGTTTAATGGCTCATTACAGAGGGAGGCAATGTTTAGCCAACAGTGTTAGAAAGGTCAGCAACTGAGGGGGGAGGTTAGAGAGGTGAAGAGATTCACCAGATGAGGGTAGTCGGGTGCGGGAGGGGGGGATCACCAGTACCCATGGGAACTGGAGTCCTGCCCTCTGTTAATGGACTGCAAAATGAGCCCCGGTCCCCCGTGTCATCAAATCAGATACAGAGGCAGATGGAGATGGAGTGAAAGATGACAATCAGGGTCAGACCCTTCATATTAAAACCGTGCTGTTTCAACGCTCACAGTCGGAGGTGGAGGCACAGGAAGCCCTCGTTTCACTCACACATATTTGCAATAAGCTTAAAGCAGTAGATCAATGTACTCAATCAAGTAAAAATGTACTCACCATCAGGCAATCCAAGAATTAGATGAGTTTGTTTCTTCATCATATCAGATTTGGAGAAATCTAGGATTGCATCACTTGCTCACCAATGGATCCTCTGCAGTGAATGGGTGCCGTCAGAATGAGAGTCCAAACAGCTGATAAAAACAATACAATAATCCACAAGTAGTCCACATGACTCCAGTCTATCAATTAATGTCTTGTGAAGAGAGAAGCTGTGTGTTTGTAAGAAACAAATACATCATTAAGATGTTTTAACTTTAAACTGTATGTATATACAGATAAATAAATAAAACTTCAACCCAGGTAGCAGGGCCATAGCTGGGGTTTGCGGGCCCTGGTGCAGGTTGTACCTGTGGGCCCTGTTTGAAATTGTGTAAATAGCACAAACAAATTAATAGAACAAAGATACAAATTAAACAATGTTTAAGTTATTTTTCTGTTCAAGTACAGAAACAGAATAATCAAATGTAAAATATCATTGCATAGTCTTCAATGTATACATTAAATATAGAATAATTCTTGTTAAAACTACAAAGTAATTCAGTTAAGAGCAGTGGGTGATTTTCTCTTTTATTTTCTTGGATTAACATTAAGGAGGACACAGAGAACAGCTAGTAATTTAAGCTCGGTCACTTTAAGAGACAATGCATCCAATATGATACACATCCGATTTTATTCTCAACTGTTTATGTTCACTTAAGACATAACCAACGTTTTTTTGAAGATACTTGCCAAGACAGGTATTTCGACATCCTTTTGTATGTATTTGTCCGTTCAAGACACAAAACTCAATTTGGTGTTTGCGGACTGTGAGACAGCTCTCTGTGCGCGCACAGAACACAGTGTGCAGGTGCTGAATTAAGCTCTTTCTTAAATTGATGAGGTGCAGGCCTATTTGTTCGTTCAAGTGCAAGAAGACGCGAAGGAGAACTCAACTGGTTGCTCGCGCGTCTGAGACGCGGCTCTCTGAGTGCGGGCCGAACACAGCGCACGATTACTCAGTTGAGTTCTTTCGCGTCTGCTTGTGCTTGAATGCTTTAAAATCTCTTGAATGTTTTCATTGTGGTTTAAAAACAGGTGCAAATGATAAGCTTTCGTGATGAGGCGCAGCAGTGGCCCATCAACTGTCCTGAGTGTACAGTATT